AACGAAAAGCGTCAGCCTTCGGCCCACAACAGCAACGCAACTACTCTACTCCTTTTCACCACTTTACAAGTGCCTCAAGGAGTGGGAGACTGGAGGACCCCCTCGGGAAAATCATTAAAATTACAAAATGGTGACAATTTCCAACAAATGGCAAAGCAAGCCCTCAAGTCCCGACATGTGGGTAACTGAGGGACTGCCTTCGGCAGGGACATGAAAGCAACAACTCCTCACCAACTTCAGAGAGTACAATGGGACAACATCAAGGGGCAAGCACAAATTACTCCTTTTTCCCTCAAGTACCTTTCGGCAAAAGGAGTGAGGGACTCCTGATGGAGTATATGGCCCGGGAAACCCCAGCCCACAGACTCCTACTACACCAATAAAGGTCCAACCGGCCCAGGAAGCTCAACAGGCCCAAATCACAGCGCCCAGAGTACCAAGCAGCCCGCAATACGCACCAGGGGTGCCTTCGGCCCCTTGGCCGAAGGCTCTAAACTCTCACAGTACGGGTTTCTCAAGCAAACTAAGAAACTGGAAAAAACGGCAGAAAACAGTAGCCCTCGGCACCTGGAGCCCTCGGCACCCAGGGGTCCCCGGCACTCAGAGCCCTCGGCTAGTCCTCCGCAGCCGAGGGCACCTCTCCCGACATAATATCCGCGCCACATGCGTACAGATCACCGTACCCTGTACAACGTCCCATCCAACAGCCGCATTAAATGCGGCCACATGCGGCTGCCAGCACCAACCAGTTGAGGTGACCTCTCGGCCAAGGGGCACTTGACACGTGTCTCTGTCCGGCATTTATTGCTACTATAAATAGCACCCCATTTCCCCATTTGTAACCACGCTGAAAACGCTCCACACTTATAATATACTTTCTCTCTCCATATTTACTTGCTCTGACTTCTCTCTTGTTACTCCCCGTAATAACCCCTCGGATAAGCTACCCCCCGGGTACACTATCCATCAGGGGGCATGTGACGGGATGAAGTGAGTTTTCTCGCACTTAAATTAATAGTAGATTAGTGGTGAAAGTACGAGTATCGTCTCCTTTGGAACGGACAAAAGGGAATTAAAGATTAACTAAATTCAGCGATTAAAATAAATTAAAAATGCGTTGTGCGAGCTTGGTTGCTGGAAAATAAAAATGCGAATAAAACGATTAAATTAGGGGGTTCTTTCTAATTAATGACGAAGGGAACAGTGATTGATTCCGGGGTAATCAGATTTCTTGGCAGATCAGGCCTAATTACATGAAATTAATTCAATTGAGCCTAGCTAATCATTACTAAGTTCTTACCGCTCTCGCGGCGTAGAGTACAATAATTTAGGGGACCCGGCTGATCTCTCATGCGACAAGATCCTAAATTATTGCCAAGACGAGCGAGCTTATAGCCCCTTAATCGCTACTAATCTCTTAGCGAACGATTAAGTGTTTGTGAATGTGTCCTAGAATAAACTAGATCTCTCTTAATTTATTCTATAAGCAAATGTAATTCTAGTCGCGGTTCCAGGTTACAAAAGATATCAATTAAATTATTCAAACACAAATTAAACGACATTCATGCAATTAAACCATCAAGAATCTAGCCATACATCGTAATTAACCCCTTCATCAATCACAAATCCCTAATTAAACTACTCACAATTCATAATTGAAGAATCAATAGAATTGAGATGAATAGAATAAATTGTCATTAATTAAAAAGACGAACTTACAAATAATCCCAGTGTCTCGAAATAAAATAGCGTAAAAACAGTGTTAAATTCGTCTCTAGGCCTATCCGTAATGTTCTTCCCCCCCCCCCCCCCCCCCCCCCAAAGGGTGAGGGAGGCCTTATTCAGGGTCGGTCCTGAAGAAATGAAGGCCCTGTGCAAAAAATAATAATTGGGCTTTCTTTTCAAAGTTTCAACACAAGTTAAAAAAACCGAATCGAAACCGCACCGACTCAAACGGGACCCGAAAGTCGGGACTCAAACACAAATCGGTTTATTGAAGGTTTTTTGAGTTATAAAATGGGTTCAAACCGAACCGATTTTTATTAAGAGGTATTTTTAATTATTTCTTTTGTAGAACAAATAGGTAATATAAAACTTGTACATTCGTATTTCAACAATTAGTTGATTTGGTTCGGTGGTTGATGTTTAGAAATCAGCGTGCATACTTTTATTTTCACCTGGGTTCAAATCCCACATGCCTCGCTTCTTTTCTTTTTTGTTTCTAAAGCTTAAGATTCTCACACCGGTGGAAACAGAGGATTTACTACTCCTTCGTTCCTATATACACGCTCCTCCTTTGCAGATGAGGAATACGTGAAGTGATGAACCAGGCCTGCTTCAAAGCCTTGCCCTAGTCCAATTTTTTTGTAATTCATTTGATTTTATATCAAAACCGAACCGAAACCACCTCTAAGTAATACTAGTATACTAGTACAAAAAAAATTGGGCCCTTCCAATTTTTTGGGCCCTGTGCGGTTGGACACCCTTCACACCGCCAGGGCCGGCCCTGGCCTTATTTATAGAAAAGAGGGGGGAAATCACAATTCTGGTCTATGTGGGAAATATCCGTGCGTAACTCGGGGCTACACACGATCGTGCTTCCCTGGCTACGCACGATCGTGCGTAGCAGGCAGTAGCTCCTCCACGGTTTTGGCTCTTACGCACGATCATGCGTCCGTGTTCTTCAGACTTTTCTCTAGTCCGATTTTTACAAAACTTCCTTCACGAAAGTTGTAGAGAATGAAGTCATCTATCCACCCCAACTTTCCGAATGTGATTTGAATCATCCAATCAAGAGATATGATCAAAACAGTGGAAGGTGTCATTCTGAAATCGTAGTAGAGATCATCTGACTTCATCATCTGTTTTCACCTTCTTGCTCTCATATTCTCGTAATGGTGTCTTCGTATGATTTGTAGACCTTGAAGTTGTCTTTCATATACGACTTGATTCATGTCCATTAGTTGTTTCTATAAATAGATATGATTGACCGATTGACAGAAGATCATCCTGATCGTCGTTTTCAAGCTTCATTCATCTTCTTTTGATCCCGAAGCCAATCCTAGAGCTCTTTTGTCATCAAATCTTCATCGTAAGCCTCCCGCTGACCTCCATAGCTTTCAAATCAATCTCAAATGCTTCTCAACTCATCCCGATTTCTCCTCAAGCGCCAGTGCCGAACTCTAAAATCCTGATTTTGACTCCAAATGACACAAAATTTGAACCAACGCCTGTTAAACATTACTTGAGCTAAATTTGAGACTTGTAACACCTTAAAGCTAGGAAAACCATCACAAGTCGATCCCAACACGCATCAAATGCGTGTCTAAATACGGACTTATCAGATTCTCTTACACTTAAGCCTTTGTTTGTCCTCAAGCAAACTGAACAACGGGACGTACGAAAATCACCACATGAAATTAAAACAATCAGCATGCACAGGTAGTTAAAGGGATATTCACAGAACAGACAGAATAAATTAAGAAAATTCTTCCCTAAACTACATCTTTGTACTCTAGCTAAACTATTTGACAAAGTTATTCACAACATCCTTAAAGTAATGATAGCATACACAAATAAACTAGCTATTGATCAGAAGGATTTGTGAAGGTAATGGTGAATGGTGATAAGCAGCCCCTTTCTTTTGAGAGATTGGAATATTCTAACAAAGACTCAATGCATTTAGAAACTTCAGCGCTATTCTTAGGATCAAGGAACTCAGTAGGCCGCAATTTAGGAAGAATCATCTAAACCTATGCAAAGAGTAGACATGGTGTACAACTAAGCTAAACCGTCTCAGCACATTGATGCTTTGACGTATACTTGAAGTACGCGGAGAACTAAAGCTAATTTTGCTAAAGCCTCCAAGTTCATTAAATAAGTTCAGTTTTCCTTGTCATGTTGGCACGAGAACGTCATTTCTTTAGAAAGATACCCAAGTCTCATCTTACGCTTTTTGACCGGGGCTCACATTCCCTTTTTCGCAAAGTAAGAGGTCTAGCTATATTAATTTTTCACCTTTCGGATTCTCACTAGACATTACCCCATTCTAATCTCGGCTTCACCAAAGAAAAATAGCAATTAAAGTTCATTAATTTAAAAGTGAATCCATGCCCACAATGCAATCCTCGAAAGTATCAAATTCCTAAAAAGTGACTGCTCTTACCCTATTTGGAGCATAGGAACAGTGCCAAAAATGGCTCCTACACTAATTCCCTAAACCTAGCAAATTAATCCCCTAGTTCCCTAAACATCAAGACTAAGTCAGAAATATTCACGGGCAAGGAACACATGCCATTTGGCTGTGGAGCTCAATTAATTGGGTAAACAATAAACTGTCAGGCTCAAAATGGCTTTTCCTAAAGGACTTTTTCAGGTGGGGTAAAAATTTGTTCATTCATATAATGGGTGACTAATGCCTTCATCCTTTCATCAACTAGATTACTATGCAAGCAAATTAAGCCTAAACACTTCAAAGATGTTGTAAAAGTATAGTCAAAACGCTAGCCAATTCACAAAGACACAGTTTAAAGAAAAAAATTCAAAAATTTTGACATGAATTTCCTATGAATATACAACTAACACATGCGCATGCTAACTCTAATAATCACATGTAGCAACTACAGCCCGAATGCCCAATTCACTCCCCCACACTTAAACTTTGGCATCGTCCTCGATGACCAAAAATGCACTATGCACAAGGAGGTAAAGAGGATAGGGTCACGCGTGCTCAACTTAACTCAAGTCAATTATTACAAACAGGATATTATTAGAGTCATAAAAGTTCCCTAATGCGCTGGTCGGTGCAGAACTAAAATGAGTCAAGTGATCCTCGACACATCATCCACAAAGCAAGACCACTGAGCTGCAAAAACAAAACACACAAACACAAAAACAAAAAACAGAAAACACCCCGGTTTTTTTTGGTATTTTTTTTCGGGGGTTTTCGGAAAGCAAACAAACAAACAAACAAAAAAATGCAGAAAAAAGCTTGGGTTGCCTCCCAAGAAGCGCTATTTTTAACATCATTTGCCCGACAATACCTCGTAAGCTCTCAAATAGCAAAGACTGTAATGGTGCACTAGTAATCAACGTTTCCAGCTTCCCCTCAACAAATGCCATTAAGTGGCGCATATCCTTCAAATTCTCGAATATGCGAAGGCGGCACATGGTCTTCATAACCCTCATCAGCACAGAAGTGAAGTATGAAACTCTCATCTTCTTCAGGTGGATAGGGAACATGAGTTAAAACTTTGATTACTCTAGGCATCACCGGAAGCTCAAAACATGTCTCCAAGCAAGGAGTAGGAGCAACACCGTAATCAAACTGCACCATAGAAAAGTCTTCTTCTTCCTCACAAATATCATGAAAATTCACAACCTCTCCTCTGGACTCTGTATCACTCCCCATGAAGGCATCCCAACTCTCGTTAACACCGTTCTCATCAGGGTCTTCAAAAGCATCTAGGAGGGTATCATCCATCATATTCCCACCTTCGAAGTCCGACTCTCTCATATTATCATCCCTATTGGTCTCCTCAGGTTGGGCTTCTGTGTCGCTAGAATGGGATGTCTCGGACTTCTCAGATAAAGCCTTTGCAATCTGTCCCAATTGATTCTCCATGTTCTGCATCCTTGCATCGGACACTTGCATGAATTGCTTGAGTGTTTCTTCCAGGCCAGACAGCTTCTCTGAAATTATCTCTTCCAATTCCTCGTCTGAATCCTGTGGCTCATAGCTCAGCAAAGACGTAGGAGTGATTGAAACATTTGTGTTTGTAAGTTGTGGGGAGGAAGAAGTGGGGTATGCAGCTGCCCAGTAAGGATGGTCATATGGAGGTTTGATGGGGCAAAGACATAAATGGTGACCTCCTCCATAGAAGGAACAAATGTTATCCTTAAAACATTAGAATATTTCCTCAGGCGTTTTAGTTTGAAGAATAAATTCAAGAATGGAGCCTGGTCTTACGCTTACCCAAGGGTATTGTGATGAAGGATAGTAAGAATCGGAATGAAAAGGTTGTGTGGTTGGAGTGTATGGATAAGAAGGCTGAATATTTTGTGGTGTAGGAGAGTAATATTGATGAGGTGTGTAAAGTTGAGGACAAGTGTAAGGAGGACATGGTGCAAATGGTGAATATTCCGTGGATGTTTGAGGGTAAGGTGTTCCTCCGTAAATCGAGCTGAATGAGTTCATCTCATCCTCTTAAGAACAAGTACCTGAAAGGTTAGCACAAAAAAAATTCTACGAAGAACTAAAAAAAACTAACTAAAACAAATCTCGCTGAAATTAATTAACCCTTAAAACCGACACCGTCCCCGGCAACGGCGCTAAAAACTGATGTGAGTTTTCTCGCACTTAAATTAATAGTAGAATAGTGGTGAAAGTACGAGTATCGTCTCCACAGGGACGGACAAAAAGGAATTAAAGATTAACTAAATTCAGCGATTAAAAATAAAATAAAAATGTGTCGTGCGAGATTGGTTGCTGGAAAATAAAAATGCGAAGAAAACGATTAAACTAGGGGGTTCTTTCTAATTAATGACGAAGGGAACAGTGATTGATTCCGGGGTAACCAGATTTCTTGGCAGATGAGGCCTAATTACATGAAATTAATTCAATTGAGCCTATCTAATCATTACTAAGTTCTTACCGCTCTCGCGGCGTAGAGTACAATAATTTAAGGGACCCGACTGATCTCTCATGCGACAAGATCCTAAATTATTGCCAAGATGAGCGAGCTTACAACCCCTTAATCGCTACTAATCTCTTAGTGAACGATTAAGTGTGTGTGAATGTGTCCTAGAATAAACTAGGTCTCTCTTAATTTATTCTATAAGCAATTGAAATTTAGTCGCGGTTCCTGATTACAAAAGATATCAATTAAATTATTCAAACACAAATTAAACGACAGTCATGCAATTAAACCATCAAGAATCTAGCCATACATAGTAATTAACCCCTTCATCAATCCCAAATCCCTAATTAAACTACTCACAATTCATAATTGAAGAATCAATAGAATTGGGATTAATAGAATAAATTGTCATTAATTAAAAATATGAACTTAGAAATAATCCCAGGCTACGCACGATCGTGCGTCCCTGGCTACGCACGATCGTGCGTAGCAGGCAGTAGCTCCTCCACGGTTTTGGCTCTTACGCACGATCGTGCGTCCGTGTTCTTCAGCCTTTTCTATAGTTCGAATTTGACAAAACTTCCCTCACTAAAGTTGTAGATTATGAAGTCCTCTATCCACTCCAACTTGGTGAATGTGATTTGAATCATCCAATCAAGAGATATGATCAAAACGGTGGAAGGTGTCATTCCCGAAATTGCAGCAGAGATTATCTGACTTCATCATCTGTTTTCACCTTCTTGCTCTCATATTCTCGTAATGGTGTCTTCATATGATTTGTATCCCTTGAAGTTTTCTTTCATATAAGACTCTAATCATGTCCATTAGTTGTTTCCATAAAGAGATATGCTTGACCGATTGACAGAAGGTCATCCTGATCATCGTTTTCAAGCTTCATTCATCTTCTTTTGATCCCGAAGCCAATCCTAGAGCTCTTTTGTCATCAAATCTTCATCGTGTGGTGTACCCGGAGGGTCTTTGAATTCTCTTTGGCCTTATCTTGTTATACTTCACAAATTTAATAAGCTTGAAAAAAGGATGGTCCTTATTTGGAGATCTAGTAAGGATAGTATAGCTCTCTTCTTGTACTTGCTTCTCTTTGGGGTTATTGAGGTTTGGTGCCTTATTTGGTTCATCAATGGTCCCCTCCTTTTCGACTTGCTTTTTCTTCCTCTCTTCTTCCATTTCATTTCTTTTAATATCGGCTATAACCTTGCAAGTAAAAGCATGGTGGTCAAAACATTTGCAATGGAAGCAATAATTAGGATAAGTTTCATACCTCACTCTTTGGATGTGTAGTTTTCCATTTGGAAACCGAATAGGAATTTGAAGTGGAGGTGGCTTTGAGGCATCCACTTCTATCAACACTCTAGCAAATGAGGACCTAGCCTTTTCAAGAGTGACTCTATCCGTGGTGATGGAAAACGCACCCAAATAGGAACTTTAAGGAATTCCTCATCATCCATGGAGAAGTCCTCGGATAGCACCTTTAAATGAACGATCTTTCCAAAAAGAGAATAAGGACCTTCCATTAGGACTTTGGCTCTATCTTCCTCATTTTGAAACTTGAAGATGACCCATCCTTTATCATGGGATCTTACGCGGCAAGGTACACCCCATTTTTGCACCATGTCAAGTATGCTTTTGAGTCCGGGAAAGCGTCCATCAAAGTATGCCATAAGACAATGTCCCCAAATATCAATCATGGAAGAAATCTTTCGGTGTGTGAGGTCTATGATGTCCCCTTTTGGCTCAATGTACCTTAGTTTCATGCCCTTATTTGGTTCCCTATTATCTTTGAAAAGGGAGACAAATTGTGGTTTAGTCCCGGGCTGACCCCATTTTTGTTGTCTCTTAGGTGTGGTGTTATCTAATGTCGCGGCATTAGAGTCATCAAGTGGGACAAGTGCATCTTTTTTGCCTATGTTCACCTCGGGTTCAATGATTGTCTCAATTTGGACAGCATCTTTGTTAACAATATCAACCTCGGGTTCAACCGTTACAACATCATCTTTCTTAGGTTCCTCGCTTTCAATGATAGCTATAGCCAAAGAATCAACCACATAATCGGATTCTTCTATCTCAATATTGTCACCATTGTCAATTGCATCATTGAAAGTATCAACATGTTCGGTAGCATCATTAACATGTTCGGTTATAACATTAATCGTAGGTAAGGGTGTTACCTCAACATTGGTGTCCTCTCGGTTGGGCTCAAGAGTAGAGTCCATATTGACTGATTTGGGGGAGCTTTCTCCTTCAAGAGTTGCATCTTGTAGTCTCAATTCCTCCTTGTCATGTGATTCTTCTTCTATGGTTTCATCTATCTCCTTTGCTTGAGTTTTGGCTCTAAGTCGAGAAGAGGTTTTAGTAGCCCGGGTGGGGGTTTTCTTCTTCTTTCCCCCCATGATGAGGAAGAAGAGGTTTAGCTTCGTGAAGGGGAGGCTAAGTGGTAGCAACCCCCTTAGAACTAGTCATATGTGATCTGTTTTCTTGATTTCGAGCTAAGAACCGTAGCTATGGAGTCTTTGGTGAATAGTATCCAATTGTACGGACAAGCTTGATGATGAAACAAAGTTGATATGCTTAATCCCCTTAGAAAGACGAACCTAAATACAAGCTCAGAATTTAGGTTGAACAAGTAGAGCTCGAGTTATGGGCGTTGACCTTCGGTGATGAATAGTAAAAGTGCGAAAACCAGTTTTGAAAAGTGACCAAAAATCCTCCGGAAAGAGCTCAAAGATTAGAAATATTACACCCCAATGAAGATATGAAGGTAATATGACTAATATCCACGCTCAAAACAAGAGAATCCGTGGAGAAGAAGCCCAAGAATCAAGAATTTTTCCGTAGGGAAGAACAAACCGCAAGTGGTTTGCGAGAGGGAGCTCTCAACGTCTCCAACGGAAAAATCTGCTTCGACTTTCTTTAAATCAGGTGTGGAGGAGGGCAGAGGTCGAATTTTTGTTCTTCTCTCGTGACTTTGACCTTCTGCAAATCGGTGATTTGGGGATGACCAGCAAGCAACTGGATACGGAGGAGGGTGGCAGTTAGGTTACCACATCTTGGTGGACGAAAACAAATCTGGGAGATGAAAGCTAAGCAAGTGACTGGGTCTTGGAAGGTGAAAACTAAGCAAGCGACCGGTTCTTGGGAAGTCACCGAAGGAGGCGCACAGCGGTTAGAGTTCAATGGTCAGTGGCGGTGACTAGCCGGAGGCGGTGGCGGAGACGGACCGGATTGGAGGCAGTGGCCAGTGGCGGTGGTGAAGGATTTGGGGGCTGGATGTGGTGTAACTATCCCTTCTGGTTGCGGTGTAACCGTCACTGGCGGTCGCGATGCAACTGCCGTTGATTGAGACAATAGTGCAACTATCACCGGCAGAGGTGGTGTAACTATCACTGGCGGTGGCATAGTAATTGTTATCGACAGCGATGGTGTAACTTTCATTAGTGGCGGCGCGTGTGTAACTGTAACTCATTAAATCAGATTTTTAACTTGTCGAATCGGGTAACTCTAACTGGTCAAATCAGATAACTGTAATTGAGCGGGTTAAATACGTGTAACTGAACAAATTCCTGAAGAGCGCGTAAAAGTCATGAAGATATCATTTTTGATTTTTTTTGAAAGCGGTCACTTTTTTGTCCAAAGGTAAGTTTGTAGGATTATCTTCGTCAAAATCGCTTTAGTAAATGATGCACGAGTGAGAAATACTGCCCTATACGGCTTTACATTGGTATGATTTTTTTATTGTGCTTGCTATATAATGCAGATCTATTTCATACGCGGTATCATGTACGTAGTATGAAAATCTATGCCAAGAATCGGTCCCTCACATTTTTCTTGAATTCCGGAATCTTAACAATTGATTTTTAATTGTCGTCCTACTGAGATTGTGCGTACCGCTAGCTACTAACGCTAAAATATACGATACGACCGGCTGTATCAAGGACATAGTACAACCGGCATTTTTGTAATTTATTCTAATTGCTTTTCTTTTTCTTTCGTCGGCTGCTTCTCTTTTTCTTCTGCCGGCATTACTCCTATGCTTGCGGGTTGCTTTTTTTCTTCTCTTTTTTCTTTTGTGTTTTCGTTTCACTTGTTGCTTCCGTTCTTTTTAATTTACTTGTTGTTTTTATTTTCTTTATTTTTTCTTTAACAATCTTTTACTTTATTTTTTATTCAAGTTTTATAATAATGTATTATATAAAATATTATTTAATGTTTGAGTTTGTTTTTTTTGTTT